CAATCGAATGATAGATTTATAGCTTGGTTCAGCTTGCTCTTTTTTCGGATATAAGATCTGGAATGGTAATGTTTATCAACAAAAGATAAGCGTTATTATTTTAAGTAAGTGAAAATAGTAGCACCTCCCCGCATAAAATCGCCACCAAAAATTAAATGCTTGAAAACTTTGCTTTTCTCTGAAACAATGACATTTTTAGGTTTGTTGTTCTACCAAGCATATTTTGCATGCCTATGAAATGATACCACCATTAGCATGATGTTTTCGATATTCCCTACAGAATGATTTTTGTTCGAAACAGAATCCCAATCTTGTGTCTTTATACTCATCATGGTTTAAATATCCATAAAATTAATTATGCAGTTCTTTACAGACTAGAGGTTAAATTCGCATTTTGAAATTACCCATAAAATCTTCGAAACAATGCAATTTCTCTGAAGCTTTTTGGGATTGGCTTGTATCGTCGTTTTATTTTTTGATTTTAGAACGACACAACGTTCACAGGTTCAATGAGTGGTGATGTTTTCGTATGGGTGGGAACGAGTCTTACCAGAGTTGTTGGGCAGGCGCATTCTGGCCCAGTGTTCACTATGTACACGACAATCAAAGATGGGCTTATTGTTACTGGTGGCAAAGAAAAGGAGTAAGCTTGTTTCACATTAGCTTGCTTTTTTATCTGTGCTTTTATATGGGACAAGAGCCGGGCTTTGTCAAATAATCTCTATGAATTTGGCAGATTGAAATTATTTGGAGCATATACCAACATGTTTGTTAGGATTGTAAAAAAGTAGTTGAATTGGGCACTTCTCAGAAACCACAGAAATGCAACTTTTGAAGGGACGTCTTAACGTAAAAAGGCTAAGAGGAGGTACATTTTTGGGTTAAGATAAGGTTCTTATCTTATGCTAGTGTTGACGCGATTAACCTGATGTGATCTGATTTGAGAAGATATTCATCAATACCAGTAAGTTAGCTTTGGTATAACATATTTCATTTGGTTTTAGACCAGCTGCTTCTAAAGAATGTGGTCCTGTTAAAATCTGGGACCAAGAAATGAAGAGATGTCGTGTCTTCAATCTTGGACCTGGCTCCAAGCAACCCATACCAAGAGCTGTTTGTAGAGGAGGTGCTAAGGTGGGGTTAATTTGCCATTATTAGCCTAATACTGAGAGATGTATTTTGTAATTAATTTTTGTGGTGTTTTATTTTGCATCTTTGGCTTTCACGAAGGCAATCTTGAACAATAGTGCTACTCAAGCCAAACTTTATCAACAATATATTTCTGAATACCAGGATATATGTTTATCTTGCTAGGTGAAAGTAGTACAAATTTAGTCCAATTATTTATCGTGTAGCCCAAGCTTTCAAATTTCCTTTGCTGCAGGGTGCATTATTAGTTGGAACACAGGACAGCGAAGTTTTTGAGATCAATGAAAAGTCAGCAGCACCACAGGTAATTGTTTTCAAAATAGTTATTTTCAAAGAAAGACTCATTTACATTAGCTATCATTTTGAGCTTTATGCCAAGAATTACTTCGCCTTTCTTTTATTGATCAGATGTTTAATGTGCTCTTATATTTGATAAAAATCAACGACTACAAGTGTTTCATGATCAATTCTTTTTATGAAGTTTTAGTAGTGACAATATATTTTGTCGTAACTAGGTGTTACTGCATGGACACTGTGAAGGAGAAATATGGGGTTTGGCATCACACCCTGTGAAGGATGTTTTTGTCACAGGCAGCGATGATGGGACTGTTCGATTATGGGATGCCTCTACAAAGGTGGTATTAGAAATGAAACATTGCTTTTACCTCCTAAACAAGCATTTTTCTCTTTAGAATGAAGCTATTTATCAAGTAAGCAGTACAATTGTAGCAAAAAGCGGGAATCCTAAGGAGAAAGCAACCATTTGCGAAAATACAGTTAAACTGCAATTTTGGCATGATATAACTTGAAAAGTGTACTTAACATCTTTTTCGTTTAATTTTTTTATAAAGTTTCAATCAAACCATGCACGGTTTCCTCAAAGTATTGTTTTATCAGAGGCAAATATTATTTCGATTGCCTTTAATAGACTGCCCTTCTCATAATTAATCTCTTTTATCCTTTTTGAAATATTTTTTTAGTGACGAAAGTTCATTTTATTCCAGACCATGGTAAAAAAGGCATCTTTGGGTGGAGCAATACGATCTGTGACATATTCTCCTGAAGGTGACAAAATCGCCATTGGTATGAAGAATGGAGAATTCTCCATACTCAGTGCTACATCCTTGCAAGTTCTCGGTAAAAAGCGTGACAGAAATCAAGCAATTCACGACTTGAGGTATTTCAATACCATTGGAATGTGTATGGCCTTTATAATTCTTGCAGATGTCTGCATCGAAAAAAACTGCTCTATCTCTAGGGTCCAAAGCCCGTTCATCGACAAAAAGGTTGACAAAGTCAAGGATAATCAATTGGCAGTTTTTCTGCTTTTAAATAAGGTATTCTGTTGCCGAAAGTGAAAGCCTTTGATCAATAACTCGCGAAATGGCTAATTTGTAGATTCGCAGACATTGTTATGTGAAATAGTTTGCCATTGGACTAATGAATTATATTTATTGGAATTGACACAATTTCCTGTACTGTGCTAAATTTTCGTCGTTTTCGTTTTCTTTTTTCTTACTCTTCTTTGTTTGAATGCAGGTTTAGTCCAGATGGTGAAATACTTGCTGTTGGATCTGATGATAAAACTGTTGACTTTTACAACAGTAAACCTGGTGGAGCACTGGCAAGAATTGGTTATTGCAAGGGAATTCCAAGTTTTGTTATTCAAATGGACTTTTCTGCTGATGGGAAATACATACAGGTATCTGAATTCAATTTTAACTCAATTTATTGAATACACGACACCCAAACACATTTTTTGTCTTAGATGCAATTTCCAAAATTTTTCCTTCCATTATTTTCATAGAAATAAAACTTCAACTTTAATAAAAATCAGACTATCGCTGCCCTGCATACGTTGCCCTGCCCCAATTTTATTATTCAATAATCGGAAAGGATGACATTTTTCAACGCCCTTGATTGGACCATGAAGAGGTTGGCCAGATTAATTCCAAACACTACCAAATGCTTCCATCAATAACGTTGCTTACAAAAATCTCAAACAGAAACAAAAAATATGTAAAAAGGGGAGGCCTGCTGGAATTGTGATGACAATGCCGATTTTATTGCTATCTTAGGATATTGTATCTTTTTCTAGGTTTCAACTGGTGCGTACGAGAGGCTCGTTTTCTCCGTTCCTGGCGGTCAGCATGTAACAGCTCAAGATAAAATAGACTCTATCACGTGGGCGACATGGACAAGGTTGGTAGAAGACCCCCTGGTAACATTGCTTGAAAGCTCAACGATTCTATACTTATATCTTGAGTAGTTTAATGTAATAGTTGTTTAGCTCTGTGCAACTACGCTGCGCCATTAGTGCTGGAAACTTCCTTAGTTCTAAGTTTTAATGAATAATTTTTTGGTGGTACAAAGTTGGAAAATGGCTTTGAAAGATAGCAAAATTTACTTGAAGAGAAAGAGTGAGATACTGTTTTTTTACTTAGCTGTCTACAATGCACAAACACTGACTATGTAACTAACCAATTAACGTAACTAACGAATGAACAAACGAACGAACAAATAAACAAGAAAATAAACTAACCAACTAACTAACTAACTAACTAACTAACTAACTAACTAACTAACTAACTAACTAACTAACTAACTAACTAACTAACCAGCTAACCAATTAACCAACTAACCAACTAACCAACTAACCAACTAACCAACTAACCAAGTAACCAAGTAAACTGACTTAATTACTTACTTACTTACTTACTTACTTACTTACTTACTTACTTACTTACTTACTTACTTACTTACTTACTTACTTACTTAATATTTACTTACTTACCTACTAACATACTTAGTTACTAACCACTCACTTAATATCTCTAGTGATCCATATACAGATATATGAAGGACAAAATTTGATGACTGCTTCTTGTTTTCGAGTCATATTCAATAAAGCACTTTAATCATAAGAAATGTTATGTCCATGTTCCATTTTAGTATGCTCGGTAAAGAAGTTCTTGGGATTTGGCCCAAAAATGCGGATAAAGGGGATATAAACTGCACTGATCTTTCCCACCATGGATCAACATTGGCAACTGGAGATGACTATGGTTATGTCAAGCTCTACAGCTTCCCTTGCTTCGACAAATCGGTATGCGTTTCATGATGAAAACGTTTAACTTATAATTTGTATCTTAACAAGTGTACCATATAAAAACTCAACGACCACCGATGCACCAACCATGCTGCAGAATCCTAAGGAAGACAATGAACTTTATTCTTACAAAATATTCCTTTTCCCAATATGCTGTGTAAATCCACTTAAATGCTTCTACCTCCAATCCAAGCGCCATTTGATTTTTTCGCATGATTTGATCACAGCATCTTTTGCCATGCATTTTGTCAGCTCTGTCATTCAGGGGTACTGCAGCTTTCTCAAATTAAAGGTTTACGCCACAGCATTTTCATAATGCTTAAAAATATGGCTTCGCTGCTATTTAAAAATGTTAAGCTTCAAGCGAATTCAAACCCTGGGGTGGTCTGAATTGCTGTGGGACTTTAAACAACCAGGTTTTTTGTATAACTAGTGCCATTGTTTCCCTTAATTTTTTCGCTAAGTTGCTTCTTGGAGTAGTTTTGAAACCAATCTTCTTCTCTAGATGAAAGGGAAGAAGTTCGTTGGGCATTCAGCTCACGTGACTAAAGTCCGCTTTTCTCACGATGACAAATATTTGTACAGCACTGGTGGTGATGACTGCTGGTAAGTCCTTCATCTTTCCAGACTTTGATTATCATTTTAGTCAAGAGGCATTTTGTCACTTTTCAGATATTTTATCGAAGGCAAAATGTATGTTTAGATTGAATCTATTGAATTGTCATCTTTTTCTGTTGCTACTGATGTTCTTGTTTGCCATTTGTTTTTTACAAAAAGAGAACCATTTGAACGGGCTGCTTTTTTGTATTGAACCTAAGTTTTTCTTGTTTGAAAATCAAGTAGATACCAGTTTTTTTTTCGAGCAATTTGCCACCCAGTGTTCATACCCTTTTTATCTGACGTGCGCATATCTTGGATTAGAACCCCCTATCTCTAGAAGCAAAAAAAATTCAGCTAGCAGCCCTGAAACATTTTTTGTTGAATATCAAACGCTCTATAAGTATATATGTAGTCTATCGGGTGAATAAGTAATGTGATTTTGCATATAAATATAAGCAACAAACCGGTCTGTCATCTGGGCAAGATGGCGTATAGCAAGAGCTGTCCACGCTTTGGTGTAAAGAGCAACACGGTTCTAATTTGCGACTCCTAGTTTCATGCTTACTGTTATCATCAAGCGACTGTTCATCAGGAAACTGTTCATCAGGCAACTTAATGCGATCATCAGGTTTCAGCGTGAAAATCGGATTTGCAATATACAACCGTCCTGTTCTCTCTCGCCTCCTCTTCGCATCGAGGCACACTGTGCTAGCACAGGTTAATTCATTCTAATAAGAAATAGCTCCTGATTGGCTGTCTCTATTCGCTGCGACGTTGGCGCTATTTATAAATGCTATTGCAAAATCCTTTGTTTTTCTTTGAAGCAGCGGGTAGAGACAGCCAATAAGGAGCCATGAATTAACCTGTGCTAGCACAGTGACCCCGATGCGAAGAGGAGTCTCGAAGAACTCAAGTCGGAGTTCGCCGAGGCTCCTTCAAATTTTTATTTCTCAACACAAAAGCGTATAGTTACACCAAGGCGTATAATCCTTTTTCTTATCACGATCTAAAATCTCTCCTTTATCATTACGCATTAGAAAACTGGACATTGATGACATATGATAAGTTACAAGAATATTCCGAACGCATTTATTCTGTTGTAAAAACTTGCCCTTGTCCAGAATCTGCTTTTACATTTTTTTTAAATTTTAATGAGCAGTGTGATGCAGGTTACTTTGAAAGGCCTATTTTTGGTTGAACTGTTTCTGTATGCATGTAAGGTTATTATATCATTGCTCACTTACTACTAGCTTTTTCTTTTTCTTTTCAGCGTTTTCGTTTGGAAATGCAGCTGAGCACTCATAGCAATGCACACGGGAACTTTTTTCAATATACTAATGGTCGTTTTAATAATAATTGAACCGTATTTTGACTTGATATCATTGAATTTTGTGGACCTTTGTTACGTGTAGTGAAGTTATTTATTTTTAGTACGTTTTGCATACGAATACTGGCAGTCGTAGTCAGGGCCGCGGAGAGGATTTGTAGGCCCTGGGTCAAAACAAAAGAAAAAAGCAAGGCACACCGGAAGCGACCCTTTAAAGAGGTCTGGGGAAACTTTTTCAGACGGCTGTTGCTAAAATTGCGGCTACTTTGGTTGCTGAAATTGCGATGATGGCTATTACTTCTCTAGTCTTTTCAATATAGTTAAAGTATGACTGGTACACTATCGTCAGAATTGCATATTTCTTAGCTATAAAATATGCAATTCTTTAATGTCGGAATTATTATTATTGATGTTATTGCTAAGATAATTAGGCGATTCATGTCAATTGGCGAGATATGGGAGGGGTTCAGTATTCTTTGATTATACACAAGGTTGAAGGAAGATGACCTAGCAAAAAAGGATGGCATATCTCCTAACATCACCGGGTAGTCACTTTTTCTAAGGAGCATCAACCAATGCAGCTGTTGAGCAAGCTTTAGCCTTTGAATTTGCAACGTTTATTTTCCAATATTTTCATTGCATTAAGGTTGTTTCTGACTTTGCCTGCTAGTGTTGCATCAGCTGAAATGTCGTTCAAATTGTCCAAAGCAACTTAAATTTCCGAAAAAACTTTACTAAAGCCCCATAATTGACCCTTTTACAGATGCAAAGACTTGGAAATTGTTTTGTTAACTAACTAGAAAATTACCTAAAGCTACTAGCTCTGTTTGACAAACATAATGGGGGTATTAATACTGTTGCTGCTTCTACCTTATTTTATTTAAAGGTTTTTCCTATTAATTTTTCTATTATTGATAATGGAGACACTGAATTGCTAATTATTAATTGTTTATCAACTGCACTGCTTACAAAGTTATTATCTATGGGGCCCTAAAGTCATGGGCCCCTGGGTCAGTGACCCCCCTGACCCTTCTCTGCTCAACACTGGTCGCAATTTGAGTAATTGCAGAATCTTCGTTTAGATTTGGCTGTTTAAGCTCTTATAATTTAGAATGGCTTTGAAAAAAGCAAACATTTGAGTTTACTGCAGCTTTTCATCTGACACTCTTCAGGGTATGAAACGTCAGAACATAGACCAAAAACTCAACGATAGGAAATACATACCCAGTTGTGGATCGAAAAAGGCCAATCAGAAACGCGAGCACGTGACAGTTAAGGTTGCCCAATCAGTGCCGCTTGCCTATTGAAGATGTTACCTCAGGTGAAAACGAACTCCTTCTGTCTACTCAAAAGCGATTTTTTCGTGTTTTTTTAGTGTATATAGATTCCAAAACTGCTAGATGGAACGGCGATCGGGCTTTGCCCATAATCCGAAACATGTCGCCAATCTGGGTAAAAGCTGCCCGATAGCGGAATCACATGTTTTACTAGTTGTTTTTGATCTGAAAGACGGAGGAGGCTGTTCTCTTTGGGGGAAGTTTTATTTCTAATGCTGGAAGGGACATGCTGTTTTATTATCCTTCTATCTTTGGGTGGTGCATCCTACGTAGCTAGAATCACACTGGCACGTAAGATAACGGAACTTTTTGGGTGGTAGCAACGCAATCCTTTGAATCTTTAATCTTGATCTTTAATCAGATTGAACAGGCCATTACAAGTTGTTTCTTTGCTGTCAACCCGCGTATTGTTAACAGTACAAAAAGGCCCTGCCATCCATTCAAAATGATTGCGTTATATTTAAACCACATAGAAGAATTGTGAAGGAAATAGACAGTTGCAGAATAGGTTCAGCCACGTAAAAATGCCATAGCTTTTCCAAATGCATTTACCAAATGGGTGTTTTCCCAAATTCTTAGGGGTCTGGTCAGCAAAAAAAAATTCCTTTTTGCCAACCCTTCCTACGTCACTGCTTCTTATCGTCTTTACCTTAAAGTTAAAACTAAGTTTTAAAAATGGGCATTTCCATCACTTACCAGTGAACTGAAGGATGTGGCATCAAAATGAGTGTCTAACAGCCCCCAATCATTGTTGCTTAAATCCGCCCCTCCTGAGCATAGAAAAAAGTAATAAAACTCAACACAACCACATCATATGGATCGAAAAAAATGAAATCGAGGCAATTCAAAAATGTAGCTGATCAACTAACTAACTGATCACAGTCTGATCACTTTGAAAACGATTCGGATATAAGAAAATTGTCGAATTGTTGCCTTTCAGGTGAGTAAATTCAGAGAACAGTATTAATTCCTTGAAAAAGTGTCTTATTCGTTTACATGTATGGACGTTCACGTTGTTGTATCATGCATGAAACATGGAACAACGGTTCGTTCCGATATGAATTCAATTTCATTTCCTTTAGCAACATATTGACAAGGTACCTAAAGAGATATTCTTGTTTAAACACGGATTTTATGATAAAAATTTAGAAGAAAGAAGTTGTGAAAGAAGAGCTGCTCATGCGATTGGCCAGTCTGTAGAGTATGACAAGTGCATAACATAGATGTTTTTCTATATGTCTCTGCACCCAGGGGGGATTGTGGAGTTTTGAGATATGGGCAGGGCATGGGTGTGTCATATTGTTTAGGGCATATAAAGAATTAAGTTTCCTCAAGTGTCAATACTTTCTACTACAAGATTTTAACATCAATGTTAAAATCTTATAAAAGAAAGCATATTATCTCTATTTTCTGACATTCTTTTCTTCCAAGAGGAAGTAATACTGACTTTTAGTTTCCCAAGGGGTTATATGCACTTGTTTCTGAAATAAATCGCTTAGAATTATAGCATTGCTGTTGTTCTATAATTTCATCCTATAAATTTTACATTTTCTAATTTATGAAAACCTTTGAAGTAGAGGATACTCAAATTTAAAAGGCAGTGGTTTCCAATATCAGCTCCATAGACCATAGCTTAGATAGTGGAAAAACACAAAACAATTGTATTAGTACATCTTATGATAGATAATATTTCAGTTTAGCCTAAATGATGTTAACAAACATCTGTCTTCTGAGTATATTGTTGCTCTTTTCATTTTCTAGTTTTTGAAGGTTAGAAGTATGTCAGGAATAAGGCCATACATTTCAAAACGACAAAGAAATGTTGGCGAAACAAAACCATCCTCCATTACTGGGACAAAAAAACTTTGTTTGGAGGAGACTTCAGAAAACAAAGATGAAACAGTTGTAACAACAGTTAAAGGAATTCATTTTGATAAAGACACTAGCTCAACTTCTCTACCAACAAAAAGTAGAAAGTCGCAGAATTGTTTGCCAAAAAGGTGTGTCCAAAAATTGAAATGCCATGAAAATGCTGTTAATCATGTAAGGTGGAACAATAGCCTGTCAAATAGTTTTTTGGTAACAGCTAGTATGGATGGTTCTATACTGATATTGAATTGCAACAGAAATGGATGTTCAATACAGAAATCTCTGAATAGCCATAGGGGTGCAGTCAAAGATGTGCAATGGAAATCAGATGATCAAGCCATCCTAAGTGGGGGTTATGACAAGCATGCAAGGATCACAGATATTGAGACTGGTATGGGTTTCTTTACATTATTTTTTCAAACATCTTTATGTTTCAGACAGTATATTGGCTAAAACCAAAATTTTAACTTTAAGGCCGTTTGATATTTTATTTATAGTCTTAAGCTCTATTTTCTTTCTAAAAATGTTTTATTATTAAATGATTGGTGGGTGGTCAATGGCTCCTGATTCTCCATGCTGTAAGAGACCAGGTATCAGAGATGCTGGGAAAGGTCATGATGGGTGATGACTGCTGGATTCTGAAGAGAGACATCCCTGCATCTGATCATTCCAAAATATCAAAGAAGCGCAAATTCAACTCCTGAATTTTGAACAATTATTTCATAGCATAGTTGTTCATGCTCTTTTCAAAGTAAATACTGACTGACTTTGGATAACTCATTTCATAAACCTGCTAGAAAATAAATTATTATTGTTTGAATCATATTTTAAGATCAGAAGCCATAAAATAGATTGACCCTGAAAAAGAACTTTAGTGGAAAAATGGACTTTTCTAATTGAGTTAGCACATATAAACCTGACCTGAAACAGAAGATCATGATTATAATAATTAGGTCCAGTAATTTGATTCAGCGTCGTAGAAATATTCTTAATCAGATAAAGATCTTAATTTTTTGTGTAAATATTTTCACTTTATCTTCAGGAAAAGAAATTTTTCACTTCAAGCACAAAGACTTTGTCACTTCAGTCCTTTTTCATCCTGAACTTCAAGATGTATTTTTATCTGGAACCTTTGCCAATGGTATTTATGCAATAGATTCAAAGTCAGGCAAGGTATAACCTTGAAAAATAAAATTGTTTGTTTTAATAATAATATATTTCCTATCATATGGTAAAAGGTGTTAGAAAAGTATTTCTAGGATCATTGCTGAGCTGTCACTGATTAATCAAATGCTAGACATTTTCAGTGAATTAACAATATTTTATTGATAATCCTGTCAGGTAATTTTGAACCCGACAAGCCTAAACTGTTTTTACAACAATATATTTTCTACAACTTGTTCTATATTTTTAAAAAGCAATTTTTCTTTCTGTAGCACCATGAAAATAAATGGTTGACAGCTATTCTTATTGATAAACCTCTGAATTATATATATTAGTTTCTACAGAGCTAACTGTTAACAATTATCTTTGAGTTTCTTTTTTTTAGGAAATACACCACTACCGCTCATTTTTTGGTCAGGTCCAAGATCTTTTGTTTCATCCAAATGGAGAAATATTTTTCTCTGCAGCTGAAATTCTTAAGAGGAATTCAATGGATAAAGCAATAGTGGCTTGGGATTTCAAAACCACTGCTATCATGTCAAACCAGATTTCTCAAGTAAGTATGCACATTTGCTGTGTTTTTTTTGTTTTGAAGACAAACTAAAAATTTCTGCTATGTAGAAGCAAATATTCAAATTTGCTAAAGTAAAGCAACTATGCAAAACTGCTAAATTAAAGCCCTAATCTCAGAAGCAAGGAAAGAAGCTCAATGACAGCCTAATTTCAAATGCGCAATTTGACAAATAGATCTGTGGAAAAGAATAATATTTTATTCCCGACCAGGTTTTTTAATGAACTTAAAGTGCCTGTGACATGATTTTTTTTATTCTCTTAATTGAAGCGTTGCACTGCTCTTATAGTAGATCTGAACTTTTTTTTTGAAATAAAAGCGTTTTGATATTGAAATTAAGCAAAATAGTGCGGCCTAGCCAAGTCGCTTTATCATCATTCGCCGTTCGCTTGTGACGTCATGGGAGGAACTCGTTATTGTAACAATGTAAGCGCTACCTTCAAAAATCTCATCCTCGCTGCCACTACTTTCTCTGGAAATATCGCTCATCTTGGACCTGTTAGATTTCCCTCATTGACTACGATACAAAAACTCGAAGGAGGAGGCGATCGGGTCCCTCCCGTGACGTCACTGTCTACTCATTCTGAAAAACAAGATGGCGAATTTTGGCTCAGAAGATCGCCAATAACTCCTTCATTTCTCACGAAACGTAAAAACTAACCTCAGAAATGAAAATAACAGGCCTTTTTACATAAGAATAGATATATAAACCCAAAAGTACGAAAATCATGTCACAGGCACTTTAAGGAAGATAACAGAATCCATTCTGCACCTTTGTCAATTTAGAGCCAAAAGCCCTGTTTATTATTTCTCTCAAAGTATTTGAGTCTTTCCATTTGGCGATGTAAGGTGATTTCATTGCTTAACTTACGTCTAGATGTAAGGCCATCGGAAGGCATAACACCTAGATGCATTTGTTCATCAGGCTTCATGATGGCTTCATCATTGCAAACTATAGCTGGGTGTTGCTCTTTGATCACTCACTTTGCAGGGTCAAGATTTAAGTATAGCCTATGTTCAAGTGCCCAGCAACTTACCTTTGATAAGATACAATTCATTTGGATTGTGAACAAGTGGAAGAATGACTACCCCTAAGCAAATAAAGTAACTTTGCATGTGAGATCTAGGCTGAATGTTCTCCTTCAGATTCGGATCAACCAGAATTTTAGTCATTTCCACCTCACCCAGAATGAAAAACCATGCTGAAATATTTTAAGATTTTTCTTCTTTGCAGGAAGTTTTTGGCTGTTCCTGTTTAAAGAATCACCCAGTTGATCCAGTTCTTCTTGCACAGTATGGAACTGGCTATATTTCTATATTTTCCAATGTTTCACCATACAAATTAAACAAATATAAAAGATTTGAGGGACATCAGGCAAGTTGTTATTGATATTGGTTAGCTTACAGCAGAAAATGGTATTGTAACTTTTTTTACATAGGTATCACTGCTTTTAGCGTACATACCTGCAAAAAATGGAAGTTATCATATCATCAGCATTTGGCTTATCAGGTAACTTAAAGAAGGCCAATGATATGTGAAAAATTTTGGTCTTACATCGAGATAAATGAAAGGTTGCCAAACTGCAAACAACCATTTGAGAAATGAAAAAGTCAAAGAATTTCTAAATGGACAGGCTTAATAATCTGTCTGCTAATGTTATTATGGACCAGTGCTTGTTAACAAAGGTGGATTAATACAGATCCTTTAAAGTGTTCCTTTTTCTCGAGCAGGAGAAGTATGAAGTGATAAGCAACAGGGATGTAATTTGCCTCTTAACCAGTACAAAGTTCATAAAACAGTTAACGTGAAATGTTGAGCTTTTAATTTTGACAATAAACATGCTATTTATAATTATATGGTCGATGCCCTGATTATGTGGTAGGCTATTTTTTATATAAAATCGGATCAAAATTTACCTTGGGCTCGGATTGCTTGGATGAGCAAATGAAAATGCATATACGCTGTGTACAAAACGGACAGTTTTTCAAAGATAAGAAATAAAAGAACTGAATTTAATCCTTTGACACAGTTAACAAGAAAGCTTTTTTGAAAATGGGGTAAAATGAATAGGGGCTGGTATGACCTTAGCGTCAGTCGTCCTTTTTACATGGCATTCATATTGAAAATGGCAAGCCACCAGTAAGAGGATCTTCTGGTGAACTATAACATTTGAAATTACTTGGACATGCGAATTAAGACCTGCTCTTCGAAGCAAGATTGAAGATATATATAGTAATTAACTATGCTTGATGCAAATGTAATGTTTTTCTTAACAAGCATGTTAACAATCTTGATTTGAGTATCCTTCCAGTATTGCAATGTCTTTTGGTTCTGTCGTTTTTTTGGTGCCACTCAAGTTAGAAGAAAGATAGGAAATTTTCTATTTGGTTGGATTAAAATAGGCTCGATAAGTCAGGATCTCTGTTTCCAAAATTAGCTCCTTTGTCAAAGTTTGTAGCCATTTTATTTGAATGTTTTTTATGTCTCTTCTTTCTTCTTACGAATTTTTGCTCGAAATATATTTAAAAGAGGGAATTTAATTCCAACACTGGGTACCAGTTTACCGAATAATGTGTGAATATTTTAAGAGGACAAGAGTTATTTTGTAACTGCCTTTACCAAGGCTTCATGATGAAGTTTTGGATTAAAGAAAAGCTTTCATTGTTATTGTTGTAGACTGGTGGATTCAATATAGGGTTCTCGATCAACCAAGATGGTGGATATGTTGCAAGCGGTGACAGAGAAGGACAAATTCATATTTACAATTATGCCACATCACGCCCCCTCGCGGTGCTGCCGGCCTACTCAACTGCATGCATGGATGTTGCCTTCCATCCATCATTGATAAATGTTTTAGCTTCCTGTTCTTGGGATGGTGAAGTATCGCTTTGGGAATGATTCGCACACATCGCACAGTATTCAACAGAGCAAGGTGTCTGGATTTTTTACTATCTTTGCATTTTCCCTTGTACTGACAATAGCTAACAGTGAGGACCTGATAATTTGAAGGTTATATGTAATCTTATATGAAAATTGACATTGAACTTTCAGAATATGTTCAAATAATTGGAAATATTGACCTAGGGTTATAGGTCTCGTCCTTTCCTAATAATTTCAACCACTGTATGACATTTTTATGATTCAGATAATTTTATGTGCAAGATATTCGTTTTGGTTGAAAAACATGACCGGTGCTTGGAAACCGTTGAGCATTGTCTGAGTGATGTTGTTAAAGCTGTAGCTAGTTTTAGAAGTTAGCGATTTATTACCAAGAGTAAACAAGATTTTTCGTTCATGTTTATATGCTATCGAAGAACATACACATAAAAAAATTTATGAAAAGGTATAAAACAACTGCCAATGCTACCTATTCTTATTATGCGATTTTTCAAAATCTAAAATGGATGAATCAATCTATCTGAAAGGCGGGAGAAAACGTAGTTAAATATTTACAAAAATTAAAGGCGAAATTATCATAGGACGACATTTTAACTGTGTGCATATGATACATATCTTGTTTTCATTCGCGAAAATTATTGATTGGTTTACAGGGTTTTTTAATCTACATTTCAGATAATATTTACATGCAAAAATTTCACGGTATTTATCAGTACTATTGTCAAGTAAAACTACAAATTCATCTAGTGCAAAGCATCGCCTGTCAAATCACTGTTGAAGTTGCAAAGTTGTCAAGTGGTGTTGATTCCTTTAAACGTATTAAATTGACAGGTCATGTATCAATGTTGAGAGATTTAAACATATTGTGTGGCATTTTAAATCAAAATTCTTATAAAACTGATAATATATATATATTAAATATTGATTCTTTTACAGAAAGAAGGAGACCGCCTGGAGGAAAATCGTCTACCAAGGTGAGAATCAAATATATAAAACCTTAGTTGCTGTCAAAATGTTATTGTCGCATATTTGAACCTTTTTTATGTTTACTGGCCATAGAATGGATCAAAAGGTGAAAAGGTTTTTTTCTGCCATCTTGATTCATATATCCTAATTAAAAATATGCTGAATTATTGGTTTAGTAATAGTCATTTTTCAACGAGAAATAAAGTTTCTTTGTGTGTTCAAATTGGTGTCTGCGGTCATTTCAAATTTATAGTACATAAGAGTTTTAGATCTAATTACTGCACCCTATTTCTTTATATCTTGTCGGGTGACATACAGCTTTTCCTTTCATTTCTAAGGACAATTTCATACTCACTGTGCATTTATGTTCACAGTTACCATATTATCAACATTCGCATTAACATCGTCCATGCTCTTTTGCAATGCTAGCAAATTTCCATGGAATAGTTGACAAATTTCATCAGGGTCTTTTAATAAGCCTGTATCACTTTGTACACCAAAAATGAGCTGGTTTGCATATGTTCCAAATGAGAATGAGATTCCAATGTTGTCACGTGGTGGCGCCCAAAAAGTAAGCATGTCTAAGGGGCGGCCACATATAGTTATCGGATTTTGTGGGCCAGGAACGTTAGATAAAATAGCTGTTGTCTTTTGGCAAAGAAACCTGTTGAGTGGATCAAGAAATTTGCTTGGCATGATTGACGTCATAACCTCTAGGGCGATTCCCATGAAGAAAGGTTCTCCTGAAGTTTTAATCTCTTTGGTTCTGATTTTTGTCTCGTTTAGTTGGAGCAATGGATGGTGCAGTTTTATCGGTAACTCGAAAATTATAACAGTCAGCTTATTTTGGAACTTAAGAGCTGCGTCTCCCATGTTGGCCCGTAAGTCGATTGGTATGGAAACTTTTACATTTGCAGTTGGTACAAGGTCCTGTTTGCGGAAAAAATCTACAAGCGTTCCGCTTAGAGCGCTGACTAGAACATCGTTTACTGTACACAGGGCTTTGTTTTTTATGTCTTTAACGATATCAAGATCAATCGCTTCTGACCATGTGACTGCTTTTGTGCCTGTAAGTTCCCCTCCATGCAAAATCGACTCATCGCGTGCTGCCGTCATCATGTTTATCATGAAATACGGACCCCAAAACAAGCCTTTGATATTCAATAGCAACCTGTTTCTTTCGGAGAATTTCTTCAACGGAGTCGTTTCCACAACTGAATCGGACAGCTCGTTGATTAGAAAATTCGCTAAACTGATCCCGTCAGCAAGGCAATGATGAAGCCGCACAAGCAATGCTGTTTTAAAAATCTTGTCTTTATCCAGAAAAGATATAAGGTTGTACTCCCATGGGGATTTGGTCATGTCCATCTCCCGCGTACAAAGCTTGGACACAAGCTCTCGCAGTTCCTTCTCTGAATGCACTAGCTGTAGCCATAGTTTGACGTGGTCTGAAATGGCAAATGTTGTGTTCTCCACCCAGTAGCAATGGAAAAAGCCTTTGAGTATTCGTTTCTTTGCCTTTGAGAATGGGTTATCTTCACTTTCGTCTTCTAGCCGTAGCTTCTTTATAAGTGTGTTTTTAAACTGAGACAAGTCAATGTCGCCTTGAACGGTCAAAAGTGCGTTTATTACGATGCGGTTAGTCGGCTTGTCCCGTAACCACAACGCATCGACATTCCCAAGAGGTAATGCATCATACTTCGCTTTATAAAAGAGCTTCTCGGATGATTTGCAGATATAGTATAGAAGGAAAAGGTACCATGTCAATGGAAAAACATGGAACAGCAGTAAATACCACAGCAGGCAACAGCATATCGTTTCTAAAAATAGAAGTAGCCTTGGATTCGTCGTCATTATACCAACATTTGAGCTTCGAAATTCCTTGAAATGTTCTTTAAATGTGCTCATGTGCTTTTCAGCAGTGTGCTTGGAACGACACCATCCCTGTTGGTCGCATCAGAACGATTAATCGACTGGCCTGAAAAAACATCTATTTTTAGTCGCAGAATTCTCTATTCAAAAAATTCCATAATTAGTCAATTCATCACATGATTTGATTATTCTATTGAAATCAACTTAAGCTTGAGAATGACTTTGAAATTACTCGTAAGCGGTATCTTTGATCAATACATTTCTCATGGTGAGGCACTCAAAACCTATTGAATAGCCTATAGAGTTCTAAAGTGTGACGTCATCAAAAGCCTTTTTTTAGAATTTTTGAATTTTAACCACATAGCGTAAAAGATCACCATGAAATACTTTCAAATACGCAAAATTGGCCAAATATGTCTAAAATCGGTTGAGATATGACTAATGAAAGATTTGAAGTTTGCCAACGAATCACTGTTATTTTGGCTCTGTTCATAAAGTTATGAACAGAGACCAAAATACAGAGGTTTGATGGGGAGAGAACCAATGAACATGTGGCCATATCTCTGTCATTTCGTAATACACTTGCCTGATTTTGCACATTTAGAGGTATTTCATGATGCTCTTTCAGGTTATGGGATCCAAATTAAAAAATTCTAAAAATAGATTTCTGTGACATCATCACTTTAGAACTCTATTTATTCTTAGTCTTCGCCCCAGTCCACACATGCTGCCATAAATGTGGCAACGTTTGTGGACTGGGGCGCAGGCTAATTGATTCTGGCTTTGAAAAAAGCAAACATTCGAGTAAACTAAAGCTTTTCGTCTGACACTCTTCATAGTTTCAAACGTCAGAACATAGATCGAAAACTCTATGCTAGGAAATAAATATACCCAGTTGTGGATCGAAATAGCCCAATCAGAAACGCGAGCACATGACAGTTGAGGTTGCCCAATCAGTGCCGCTTGCCCATAGAGAATGTTACCAATGGAGTCCTAAGGTGAAAACGAACTCCTTTTTTCTGCACAATAGCGGTTTTTTCTTGCTAATGTAGATAGATTCCAAAACTGCTAGATGGATTGACGATCGGGCTTTACCAATAATACGAAACATGTCGCCATTATAGCTTTTTGCACAATCTGGGTTTTCCAGTAAATGCTGCTCGATAGCAGAATCGCAGGTTTTAGTTGTAGTTTAGATCTGCAAGACCGAGGTGGCTGTTTTCTTTGGGGATGGGTTTTGTTTCTAATTCTAAACGGAACATTTTCTTTCATCCAGAAACACACTGGCACGTAAATTCATATCAACAGAACTCTTTTGTGAGGTAGGAATGCAATCCTTTTTGAATGGAGGGAAAGGTCTTTTTTGTACCGTAAACAATGCGTGGATTCACGGCAAAGAAACAATTTGTAATGGCCCATTCTATCTGTTTTTCAAAACGCAAAGAACTGTTAAGCTTGGTTCCCACTAGGCGACTGAGTGCGTTCAAGTTAAACGCCAAGTGGGAATGCTCCGGGCGTTTAACTTGGAGGAGATGAACGCACTTGAACGCTCAAAAAAGTTAAACGCCAAGATCAAAGAATTGCGAAATTTGTGTCACGAAAATGCAAGGGAACTTAAGTTGCGATCCTGTTGCGATACTTGATCGGATAGTGTGGCTAACCATGGCCTTTACCTAATTTTCAAGAGAGGGTTACAACATTTTACAATTGAAAAATTAATAAGTGATGAAAGAGCAAAAATGATAATTATTTTAGTGTTTAAATGCATGTCCTAGATTCTCTAAAATGCGACATTTAGACATGTTGAATTGTCTTCACAAAGCTAGCTGAGTGTTTATGTTTGCAAGTGGGAATGCCTCGGTAGTTTATCTGTTATCTTTAATTAAATTAAAGGATTAGAGATGAACGCACTTGAACGCACTTAGTCGCCTTGTGGGAACCAAGCTTAACCGATCCAGAGTAGTTTCTGATAAACCAGGCACTTTTGGGGACCAAATTTTACGTCAGCCGAGAAATTTGCTATCTTCTCCTTAATGTAAACTGAAATTAAATCCTCTCCAGAAAAATATTTTTTAGTTGTTCAAGTTCCGAGTCGAGCCACTTTAAAGTTTAGTACCACCCAAAGATTGTTTGCTAATTGATTCTATGTCCTACAAAATCTCACTTGGGCTGCTCTGGTGGATTCACCCCCATCTACAAGCATCAACATAACAACATTGACCCGTAGCCAGATAAAAAATAGCTCCCTTCACCCTATACATAGGTAACAAAAGAATCCTCTGCGCTAGAATCGTCGACTATCGTGTTTGAAAAAACCAATTAATTATGATTAACATTCAAATTATAATTCAAAATCTATTTAATTCTTTACTTTACACACGATGTTAAACTTTAGGTTAAATTTATCTTAAGCAGTAGAGTAATCATGTTTGATGAGCCTGCTTATATTTGGGGATCCGGAGGTGTATTCCCTTGGAAAAATTTAAATTTTAGGCCTACCAATTGTCAGTAAGCTCGGTTGGTTAATTGTTCTGCACTACAAGGATGGATGAATAAACTTTGATTGGGAACTCGTCCTCACTTTTGAATGGGTGGTGGCTGTGCTTAGTAAATAGAACGAGTGGCTCATTTGTTTTCAAAACATTACTCGCAGTCGGTGACCATAGGTCCGTTATGTTTTCTCAATCTTGTTTGGTTATTGATTGTTTACGTATTGACTCCAGGACGAAATTCTGAAGAACCTTACAATACACTAGAAACAAAATTATAAGATGACCTACCTACAAAAACTTAAGATACATTAGAAGATGAGAAAATAAGAGTTTTTCACGAGGTATACATTACTCCCGTTAGCACTATCTTTAGAAGGGGCGGCGGAGCACATTTTGGGGAGGGGTTCTTGACACATTGAGAAACTTTTATGGTAGTTTTTCTACCATTATCTTAGATGACACAACATGCATATCATACATTAGAAAAAAGTAAGACGGCTATAGAATTATTTCTTTGGAGGGGGTTATATAAATTTCTTTGAAAAGCAGTTATCGGTTAGTAAGAAAAAGAAAACATACGGTTGCGTTGAAATCCTCAGTTTAGACGATATGGCAGTCATGGCGATCCTTTCCCATCGACCTTCTCGATCTCCAGTTTTCCACCTGGCCTGTTTCAACCGACCGAACACAAGAAATTCACCAATGGTCCCAACCTTGAAAGGTCATAGATTTATTGACGTCATTATGGGATTGTTTATTCAATAATACCAATGGTTTCGGTAAAATGGTTGTCTCGTCATAAATCATAAATTTCCCATTAATTTGAATCAATTTTTCTCCGTTCATCAATTATGTCTCTCCTCCTTTCATTCCTTTGTTCTGCCTTTGTTCTGGTTTACCTTCCTAAGGTTGTTTATCACTTCTCTGTCTTCCTTCGCGTCCTAATTGTTTCTCCAGCGTGCTGTTAGATCACATTAAATAGTAATGACCCTCGTTGTTTAGTTCTTTCCTACTTATAATATATTCACCTTTCATATTCATCTTTTATTATATCATACAGAAGATGACTCAAGCTAGAGTTAACACGTTTCTTTAACTGAATTTGTCGTACCATGTCGTACCATTTGTCGTACTTTGCAAGCCCTCAATGGCAAAAATGGACCCGAAAAACAGGTCTTTAACCTGTGACACAGGCACGAGAAATACACGATGTAGCAAATCGCAAGACTGCCATGGTCGGCTAATGATAAGTAACAATCAAAGCGAATCAATAAAAAAACAAACAATCCTCTTATTTAGTTTCATTCATCAATTATAATTCAATCTTCTCTTGACACAGTAGTAATTAAACTTGATATAAATATTAGCAATATGATTTTGATAAAAATATAATTAAAAATTTATCCAACAAGCAACATTGTGTGGCGGACCTTTTTCAGCCTTATCTATGAAATGAAGACAACGGATTTTTTCTTAAGGTGACCACAAATGTTTTAGATTCCATTCACTATGAATCTTCGATACAATGAAGTCATACGTTAATATTTTTTTGTTTTTCAAATAAGCAAGTGTTTGGTACTGCAGAATTTGATGGTAACGCGGAAATGTAGCATAAAAAAGTACTTTTGGTCCGATACTTCTCATAGTAAAAACGTGAGAGTTAGAAAAGCGCGTTTAGTTTGGTGACGGGTGCCGATTGGTGAAAAACAAGGAAGCATTCCAACGCGATTATGAACATTCGGAAAGTTTAAATTCCTCTTATTCTGCAAATCGAATCAAACTAATGAACCACTGACTGTGTCTGTTGATTTACTGATTCTTTGCATCGCTTAGCCGAAGTCGCGCGGGCAGGCCGGTCTAAATGAAAATTGGCCTTTCTTTACTCAAAAGAAATTAGAATGACAGTTCATTCTGCTGCACAAAAGTGGTAGATAAGGACACCAAGGATTCGTTTTCACCATTTCAGAGCACCATATTCTACTTATGGATGCTCTGTCCAGTTACTCTTGTTTTTTGTCTGCTTCAGCATGTTTTCTACTCAAATTGTATCCATTGCATCCCAGAATATTATTCTTGGATTAGTTGGTCGATTCTTCATTCATCTTCTTTGAATGTTGAATTCTAATTATGTTCGTATTTTCTTTAGATTGCTGTCCTTTTTTATGCACATCCTAACATTTCAATTGTTATTCTAGTAGCAGTGAACTACTCTAGCTATTGGTATTCTATTCAAGATTTAAGTCAGGAGATGTAGTACAAACTGCATTGATGCAGGAGCGTTTTTCCTCTGGAACAAATTACTAATGACTTACTAATGATCCAATAAGCTTTTTCAACTGAAATTAAAACGAACGAATATATACAATAAAAACGAGTTAAAAGCAATTTGGCAATAAAAGCATACAAGTTAATCAGAAAATTAAAACACGAGAAACATAGAGTAGCAGGCTTAGAGGGAGTGATAAATTTGCAGTGCCTTTAAGTGTTTTGTATTTTAGGGGACAGTGACCTTAACGAGTACTTGATGGGACTGCATGTCTCCGATTTCATTGGTCAAGTATTCCTTTATTTAATTGATAGGAGATACCTAGCTTCGACCGTAGGTGTATTGAGGCCTAAGTTCAAGGCTAACCTGTCACATGTGCAATGCTTTAGACCATTTTCAGTCGATTGTTGGTTAACATGGTATCATAGCTAATTTCTAGAGGGTAAATTTTGAAATCTTTTTCCGAAAAATTAGTTTTTCCGATGGTTTACCCCTTTACGATGTAGATTATGCATGAACTTTATACTTTTAGATTTATTGTCTTTTTCTCGTTTTTTCAAGATATTGGATTCACTGAGGTAGCAGCTTTGAGAAAATGTGCGGTTTTCAAACAGGAATCATTGACGGATTATTATCTGTAAGGTTGGGAGTGCCCCCCCCCCCCTGACCATAATAGCCAGTGCCATGGTCTTCAAACCAAAGGTTAATTCAGAATATAGCAGCAGTGCTTAGAGAGCTGTCTCTCATTCTTTTGATGTATATTACTAACGGAGTTTTTAATAGGCCCCTGAAATACCCTTTCCTCATAAATTTAGACATAATTTTGAATGTCTGGACCCAAACTGCGCTTGTGACACAGGAAAAGAAGATAACGAGTATGTTCTCCTGCATCGCCTTCTCTTTTACTTGCAGCGTAGAATACCTTGGTCAGCTCCAGGACCCTCCTGGCAATGAAATTGAGAGTCTGGATACCCGGTGTAACAGGGCCTTAAAGATTAGGCGAGGTAAAGAATTTAAAGAAAACAGCGGAAAGGAGAGAAGGAGAGAGAGCGAGAAAGGCCTATATAATTCTCCCATTTCCATTCTCCTCCCGATTTCTTGGGCTCTGATACCAAGGGTAGGATTTTGAGAACTTGCTTATTAGCCCAAATGAAAATGTGACTGTGAACAGAATAGTTATTGCAGTAACCAAAGAATAATTAGGCTTAAAATTCATTCATCAAATTGCAGCGCATTCAAACGGGTGAGTCAGAGAGGTATATCTTTGACGCACTTGGTAAACCTTGATTTTTGTAGTGTACACTTTTTTGTTAATTTTTATGGACAAACCTTTTACTGGTGAATTATTGTAACTGTCGTTGGTAGTGGGAACCTGATGAACCTAGTTTAAATGTTGTTGTTATTTTGTGCATTTTCATATTTTATTATGATAAAGTAAAAGCGTCAATGGTAGAATAATTTTCCCAGTTTTCTTTCTGCGAAAATCATCCAAGTGAAAAAATTAAGCAATTCATATCTTCGACGGTTTCGGGTAGAAAGATTCGGAATGTTTTCACTCAATGAAAACAAATATTTGATAGGCAGAAAGATTCCTAATCTAAACACAAAAGTGGTCATTTGTTGGCGATAAAATGCTTTGTTGTACACAATTACTGTTTTCATTACTGTGTTGTTGCCTAAGAAAGTCAAATCTTGAGATATGAACACTCTCGAGCGGCCCTGTCTGGGGCGACAAAAATCCGCACGCGGATGTCCGAAAATATTGTCGTGGCTGCAAAGCCACCGACTTTTGATAGGCCTCCACTAAAAACTGCCTCATGCGCTACCGCTATTGCATATTACCCTTATCTATTGCCAAAACAGCGCTGTTATTTCTAAGAAGTATTCATTTTGAAATTTCTGCTAAACGTTTTATTTTTGTTGATAAGAGAGTTGTTTCGTGATTACAGAGCATGTCTTAGTAGTTTCACGGCGACTCACCTTACTGTAGCTTTGTGGCAAACGGAAAATTCGTTACACGTCCTCGTTATGTATCTTTCGTCCATGAATCTGTGATATGTCTGGTCAATGCCTGTCTATTTTTTGTGTCAATACCATCAATATCAATATAGTTGCAAAAACAAAAGCAGATACCCAATATCAGCAAATACATTTGAAGATGAAAGGTCACGTTGTATTGATTGCATTCCTCGAAGGTTTGGTGCATACAACGGCTGTCGTTTTTGGACTAAGACCGATCTTTTGTTTATCACGTTTTTTCCCTGTTCTGGTTCTCCACCGACGAGCATAAATATTACGTTGTCCAGTATCCTCTACGAGAATAAGGGATTGTCTTTAAAGCAAATATTTAGAGCTAGACAGCTTTGTTATTTCAATCCTTTACTGTCATAGGAATCGTTTTTTTCATAGCGGTTCATCATTCTTGACATCAAGGAATCACATAGTGCTTTTTATACTTAGCTGCATCTTAAGAGGTAATGAAACCTTTTCAAGCTTAATTCTACACCTGCACAGAATCCCATCAATGCGTTTTCACTTTGCGCGCTATCGCGGGCCAGTGGGCTTTTAAATGCGGTTTACTGGTTCTTTTGATGATTTATTAGGGGAGCTCGGTGGTGTATGCGAACAATGAACATTTAAGGTAGATGAATACATTGAAAATTTTGGAATTTTGATCAAATATCCAATTTTTCTTTCTTGTATCTTTCTTACTCAAAATTTATTGTAGAATTCACTTTTGATGATAATTTTCCCATCCATCTTCTCCATTTTTGATTATTTAGATTTTTCTAGAAAGTACCAGTTTTTTGACGCATAGCAACACAAAATCGGTTGGTTGCTATGGGGCCCTTTGCCCCGGACAACTTGCTTTCTGCAGTTTTTGGGGTGATTTGTCACCTCCTTTCATTAAGGATGTGAAGGAGCAAGTTTGAGCCTCTTTTCCAAAACCTGCATCTTTTTTCAAAATGGAGTCCGAATGTGTTGAAAGTAACCCTCAAACTGGAGATCGCCGAAAATTTCGTTCAAAAAGAAGAAAAAAGAGGAAAAGTTTTATGGGGAAAACTAAAAAAGAAGTCTTAGAAAGACAAGAAAAGACCAAAGATATATTTGAACCTGGAAATTTGGCCTCAGAAATAGAACAAACAGGAACGGACGACATTGGGAACATAGGCCCAAACACATCAGCTGATTCTCATGACACGCTGAATGTCTCACAAACAAAACTAACTGATGGTTCACTCTACTGCATTAGTAAAAGAGCTATAACAAGGTCATATGCTGAGAAAGTTGGACTTAAGAGGGAGAAAAGAAACAGTTCAACATCAGGAAACGGTATAATGGACAAGGAGTTGTTAATTAACTGCATTAATAAAGCAACAATTTGTAGACACTGTAAGAGTATGAAAACTTCATTCAGTTTAAAAAGGGCTGGCAGTGATGGCCTTGCAGAGCATTTAATCCTTGTTTGCAGCAACTGCCAAGCAGAAACAGAGCTAGAATCTAGTGGAAAGTGTCATTCTTCCGACAGAGTTGATAAGAAGGGAGGACGTACTGCATACGAGGTAAATCGCAGATCTGTTTTGGCCACAATTGGTTATGGACTGACTGGATTGGAGAATTTCTGCGCTTTGATGAATCTACCAGAACCAATAGCTAAAAGGGCCTATAATAATAGCATGAAAACCATTGAAAGAGGGTGCATTGGTGTAACAGAATCTCACATGAGTAATGCAGCAAATGAATTGAGAAGAATAACTGAAGAGGAAAACAAGGATCAGATAGAGCAAGATAAAGACCACAGGAAAATTGCAAAAGTTGCAATTACAATAGATGGAACATGGCAGAAACGAGGATATACATCCAAGAATGGCATTGTTTGTGTTATATCTGTAAGGACAGGTAAAGTTCTTGACTATGAAGTTTTGTCAGTTGTTTGTTTTGAATGTCGTGCTCATGAAGCTGAGGAAAAAGACACAGACAGGTACATGTCCTGGTGGCAGAAACATAAGGATCTATGTCCAATTAATCACACAGGGGCAAGTGGGGAGATGGAATCAAAAGGAGCAATCAGAATGTTTCTTAGATCAATTGAAAAACGTAGGTTTGAAAACACCACAATGGGTTGGTGAGGGTGATACTCGGTTGCTAACAGTCATGTTTGTGAAGCATAAAAGAGCATATAACACAAGTTATCATTGTGTTCTAAAGAACATGTGTTATGGTCAGTTCAAAAATAGATGGCGCACAATTGTTTGAGAGAGTTGAGAAGCAAATCAAGGGAAAGGAGATTTCAGATGGTAAAGGGATAGGGGAATAGGAAGGTTGACTGATTAAAAATTGATAGCATTCAGAACATTATGGCAGGCAATCAGACAAAACAGTCGGAATCTCCTGCCATGAAATCAGCAATTATGCTATTTTGAAAGCACATGGTAAGAGACAATAATGCATCACTTGAGGATCAGCATAGCTTTTGCCCTCAGAGTACCACATAACTTGGTGCAAGTATGTTAAGGACAACAAATATAGTACTGGCCACATATGATGATAGCAAGAAGGCTTCAAATCTTTCTTGTACAGAGCTGAAACCAATCTTTGAAAGACTGTCAGCAGATACATTGCTGAAGAGATGTCTTTTGGGATATTACCGCAAAATCAGAATGAAGCCCTTCATGGGGTTCTTTGGCACATTTGCGCCAAAACACCGTTTTGTGGAAAAAGAAGAGACTAACCATATGTCTTCTGTTTGGCAATTTCAAAGTTTAATGTTGGGCAGTCTAGTATTGGCTGATATAATGGAGTCATGCAACATGTTACCAGGACAGAAACCTTATTTGCATTGAGAAAGTTGACGCAAAAGACTCACAGATACAGCTACAAAAGTTTCAGCAAAATGATAAGAACCGCGTCGACCTGCTTCGTGCAAAGAGGTTAAAAAAAACTGATGATAAAAGGAGTTATGTTTCAGGTGGATATGGTTTTGACCTCAACACCAGAGTTTTCAAAGACTAAAGAGGAGGAAGGAGGATTCAGAAAGTTTGGTCTCTAAGAAGAAGCCTAGAAAAGATAATGCGCACCGTTGATGGAACACATAACTGCTGAAAATGAAATTATTAACTGTACATGTCATTTTGAAAAGAACCAGACATTATTTTTGCTTTACTTTTAGAGGAATTCCATGAGCATGGTCTCAGGGAGGCAGGAGAACTTGTAATTATCTAGATTTTTCTAGAATATCATTTCTAATTACTGTAACATTTAAAACAGAATCTTTAACTGCGATTTTCTCAAATTTTAGAATTTACGCGAGTGTTGTTGAAGTTGTGGCTACTGTAATTTCTCCCTAGATTAACATATACTGACCAATTTTGAGGTCCTGTTACAGTTTTAAATGCTCTATGCAATGTGAGTGATTGAAAATTTGCATTTGAGCAAAAAAATTTTTTTTTGATCAGAATGGCATGTTTTTTGGCAATTTTTATTTTCAATTGTGCAAAATGAAAGTTTAATCACTCATTGCAGAGAATATCTTGTTATAACTACCTCTGTCAAAACGGAATG